CTTTTACCCATCTACTTATCACTTTCTGAATAAAACAAAGACCATAAGTTTGGACCCTTCACAAGACTTAACACTACACTGAATTCAGAACATTTTGGGTGAAACTGAAACTCTGTCCTTGAGTAAACAGAGCAGCGACTGACCCACTGTCAAGGAGATAACGCCATAAAGTCAGTCGCCGTGTGTCAAACCCACCAGTGTAAGATGCCTTGATCTGTTAGAGCTTGTTGCAGGTTTTGCAGTAGCATGTATTCTATACTGGTGTAATTATTTCCATAACAAATTAAGTTTAGAAAATGTGATTCCACATCTACAGTATATGTATATGCATATACTGTGTATATACATACATGTGCATGTAATCTACCCCTGCTGAAACACGTTCCCCTTCACTATGGACTTACTTTGTCCAGTTTTTCTAACTTTGCCAGATCAGTTAATATGGCTTAAAAATGATCTGTAAAATGGTTACCTTTCCAGTTTGATGTTGTTACATTGTCTGATGAACGTATAAACAAAGTAACCTTATAAGTTGTTAAATTAAACATCACTGCTTTTGGCCAACAAGCTGTGGATGGGTTTTGCTATGCAGACTGTTTCCAGTGTCTATGTTTCATCAGACTGTAATCACATGACTTTGACCTTGTCAAGTGGACCCAGTATTGGCCATGATGTGACTGATTCACAGTGACTTTACTGATCTTATTCCAGAATTCAGTATTTTTGTTATGTATTTACATTTATCCCGTCACGACTAGTTTTTAGTGCCAAGCATTCCCTGGCATCACTTGACCTTACACTACAATTACTCCAGTGAGCACTTGTAAGATATAGAGATTTTAAATTGGAGTAATGAGAGCACTGGTATTAGTAGTTTAGTCTGACATAAAGAAGTGACTCCAGAGAGCGCAGCAGTGACCAATCCCCAGCAGGTGGCAGTAGAGCTCTGCACGGCCACTGAATGCTGATAGATCCCTTCACACAGATGGGACTCAACCTGTTGAAACTGACAACACTGTCAGTGTCACTGTAAATGAAAAGATGGTCAAAGGAAAAGAGGAACCACAACAGACCCATCCTACAACAGAAGAACCAATTGTTCATTTATTCCACCTGCATGAACCAGGGTACTGAACACCACCCTAACATCAGTTTCAAACTGGTTTCATACCAATCACACAGTGATTCATGTGACTCTGACAACTTCCGTGTCACCTTACCAACTTGCAACTTAACAGCTCCTGTGAAAATCAAACTGAGCCGCCTCCTCAGGTCAACTACTTCTTCTAAGATGGCGATAATCTAGCTTTTTATAAGAGAGAGACAGTCTAACATAACTGTGGCATGTAACAGTTGCTCTGACTCTTTCTTCTTCTTCCTAAGGAAGCCAGGGAGGGGTGAATGTTTTGGTCTGACCTGAGATCATCAAGCCCTGCACACTGCCCTGACCTCCAGATGTCACATTTGACAGCCACTCTGCAAACCACAGGACACGGCCAACCGCTCTGGCCCACTTATTCTCAGTGGGTGAAGCTTGCATTAACACAAACCTCATTTCTGAACTGCCAAGTGAACCTGCTGCATCTAGGGGTGGATGGACTGAGTTTCTGGATGGCACAGGTCAAGCACCAAACGTCCTTGATTAATTAACTGTGCACCTAAGACGAAATGTATGAGAATGCAAGTTGTATGATCCATGAGCTACCTCCTTCCTTAATACGACCTTTTCAGATGTGCAATCAAAATGATTTGGGGTTTGGAAGTAGTCTTCAACATGAAACTTTTAATTAATGAATTTCTCTGCTGCCCTCTTTTCTCTGGACCAAGACCCTTCATCCAGCGTAAGGACAAACCATCTGTTTTTCTTGATTTTCTTTTATTTAACAGTGTTAGAAAATAACCCAATTCTTTTGTTGGAAGCACGAGAAGTGAAGACAGGACAGGACTGTTTAAAATCAACAGAAAGTTTACTGAAAGTCTGAGCACAGGTAGGCCTTACAGTGCTGGGATCAGAGAGACAGAGCTCCCGCAGGAGTTCCTTCCTCTGGACCCTGAATTAAGTTCTTACAATACATTTTATCTTCTTGGGCTGCTCCGCCCTGGACAGGGGTGCAACCTTCAATAGTTTGTGATCCTATTGGTCATTTGGTGTGCGTCGGAGCTCACACTTCCATGTTGGAATATGGTAAATCTAGGTATGTGGGTGTGTGTGTGTGTCTCAGGTTGTAGCCCTCTGCAGGACATCCCAAGACAAAGCAAAGCTTGGGATATGCTAAGTGGGTTGAGGTGTGAGCCTTTGCTAAAATGTAAATAGGCTGTCTGGTCACAAGGAGATGCAGACATCCTCCCTCAACAGAAGTTACAGTATTAAAAGTAGGCAGATTCTAATTGATTCTCATCAATACAATTGTAAGATATATAAGCAAGGAAAATAAATGTATTAAGAATAACCAAAGCTCAGTAGTTCTGGACAGTCATCAATACAGCTGTAATATGTATAAACAGGGAAAATACAGTTATGAAAGGTAACTAAAGGGAACTACAGCTATGAGAAGTAACTAAAGCTTATAAAGTAACTAGAGCTCATAAGAATAAAATCTTACAATAGGTTTATGTGTTTATGGTATGCCATTTATTTCAGGTTGCCATACTTTGACTATTGGAAAGCAGTTAAAATACATGTATAGTAGTCAAATTTTTCCCCATGAATCTCAACATATTCTGCAAAACTGTACACTTTTCAAGTTTTTATAAAAGCATCCTGCCCACAGTGAAAGATGCCCCTGTTGTTTTTGTTAAATGTCCTTATTTTGGCAAATTTGGTAAACAGTTTTATGTGGAAAAAACATCTTAATCTTCCTCACAGAGGCCATAAGCTAAAATGTGTTGGTGGAAAACACCACAATGTTGCCAAGTTACCAAGTTGTTTTTTTTTCACCTATTTTATAAAGCACAATTTCATGGGAAATCGTAATCTGTAAAAGTTCCTACTAGTCCGGTAAATTATAAGTGTTGTAATATGCAGGCCTCAGTCACACGCGAAAACAGGAGTTTCCTTTCACTGATGTTTAATGTGGTCTTCCTTTACACCAAACACCGTAGAACTAACAAACAAGGTAAATACAGCAGAAAGAAACAACCACGTCACTTCATATCACATAGACATGGTGCAACAATAAATTCATAAACACAAATGAGACATACCACTTTGGCTTGCTTGTGAGCAAAGGCTGGTAGTAAAACTCAACATAAACTTCTTAAATTAATGTTTTAAGTTTCCTTTTCTTCTGTCTTTTCTCTGCTGCTAGTCTTCTCTCTCGTCAAAGGACTGGAAGTAGCACTACGGAAACAGTAGTTCCAACAAAATAAAACATATGGGACTAATTGCATTCAAAACAAAGCTATGTATATCAATATACAAAAACAAATAGCATTCATAATGTTGCATAAGAAATACAAAACACATAAACAAACAAAATGTGCAACTTCATAAACTTATCCGCTGCATAACAATGACCTTCACAGGATGCACAGACCAAGACGACAGCAGCTACATGTATATTAATACAAATCTCAAGGCTAATTTTATTTCTGTAAATTCTGTGGACCCACTGGATGAGAAGCTTTGATACTCTGTATGTTACTGGTCGACGTGAACGGTGTTACTTGCTGGTTTGTTATACCCCAGTTCTTTTGCTGGACAGTTCTGAGTAAAGAAGGAGTCCATCTTTCTTGATTCTAGTGAAAGGTTTATTTACAAAAATAAATATATTTATACAAAAGGATTACAGAACACAACCCAGGGCTCCCTCCTTCAGACAAGCTGCTGGAGCAGTGAGCAGGGAAAAAAGCACCCGGAAACACAGAGCCTAATACATTTATCAGTTTTGGGCTAACTTACACAGATGAAGTCCGTCCAGCAGACTCCATCTCTTATCTAGAGCTCCACATGCTTGGAGCAGGTGCATATTACCTAGTGTAACCGTTCCTGCTTTCGGCCTCCAGGAGTGGCGCAGGGGAGGCTGATGTCTGCTCCAGGGCCGAGGCTGCAGTCCACCTCGGGGTTATCTCCCTTCACCGTGGTCTTTAGCAGCAAGAACACTCAGGCAACTTCCTTGGAAACCAGACTTTTTATTGTCACTTTCCCTCAACATGAACAATATCGCCCACTCTGGTTGAATTCCACTGTCTATCTTTTTACACTCCGTTCACTCCCTCCAACCCGCTCATACCGACCTCTCGTCTACTACGCCCATACTTCGTGTGTGTATGTTTTATGCGTGATGTGTAACTAAAACATTCATTCAGACATAATTCTTACACAAGATTAATACAAGAAAAGAACTGGTGTCAATGTACACTTTTCAGAATCAACATTATCTTCTAACCTTGAAACAGAGCACACATGAGCAGACTTTGAATCTTACTAAACTGCATTACTAACACACATTAAAATCTAACACGTTAAAGTCTAATAATTATCTGACTAATTTATTAATTTCTAACAGGTTCATGCGTCAGAAAAGTTGATGTTAAAGGATTCATTATTTCAGTATCAAGGACATGGTGTGCTGTTTCACTTCCTTAAGCTCCTTGTTTCTTTTGCAAATATAAAGTGACCACACCCCCTTAAACTGGCGGGCCTAGTTTCATTTTGAAAACGTGATGATACTTTTACTTTTTTTTGGGTCTGAAATCAGTCATTTGTTGTAGAGTTTGTGGCTTTAAATCTGAAACCGTAGCAACAGTAACTAGGGGAGAGTGGATTAACGAGACGAGTGACCGCGAGACCTTGAAATCACGAAGGCGATTTTGGAGACACAACATGGCGGCAGCGAACAGAATCAGAGCGTGGATTTTCTAGAGTAGGATCATTATAAAACCGGAATGAACGAAGACCCGGACTTCATCGACCAGGACCACTACACAACCAGAATGAAAGAAGAGAAACAAGACCCGGGCTTCATCGACCAGGACCACTACAAAAGTGAAATAAAGAAGGAGGAAGAGGACCCGGATTTCCTCGACCAGCATCGCTACGTAACTGTAATAAAGGAAGAGAACCACGACCATGATCTCAAGAGCGAAACGGTGGAGGAGTATCAGAAGCCGTACTTCGTCGATCAGGATCGATATGGAACTGGAATGAACAAGGACAACAACAAAGACGATGATTTCAACGAGAGCGGAATGACTGAGGTGAACCCCGACCACCAGAGCAACGCGCCCGCGCAGCCGAGCAAAGGAGAGTCATCCTCTGGTCCCCGCGGTCAACAGGTCAGTGTTCAGGACTTAATCCATAGAAGAGATAAGGTAGATAAGAACAACGTTATAGAATTTGTTCTTCCGTGTTTTCATCAGCAATACAAAGTGTTTCCTAATGGTTAACGCGATAATGTTTGTAGTACCCCAGTTCTTTAATTGGACAGCTCTGAATAATGGAGTCCGTCTTTCTTCATTAGTGCTGGTTTATTTTAACCACAAGCAAAACTAGATAAATGCATTTCCTGTCGAAAACGCGTGTAGATGCTATGTGCCGAAGGATCGCCCTGAAAATGCTGAACATTTTGACACCTGAAAGGCATATCTACCTGAAAGTATGCTGAAGTACAATTATCCCATTAATTTGAATGGGGGAAATTTTCAAAATAAAGCAAAATATGTCAGAACTGTGAAGTGTATATAAATTCTGAGTCGAAGCAGAATGCCCTGGGAGACTTGAACATTTTGATATCTGAAATACCTGAAAGCATGCTTAAGTAGAATTTCCCCATTCATTTGAAAGGGGCAAAATTTTCAGAATAAAGCTAAATAATTCAAAAGTATGAAGTTTAGAAAAATTCTGTAGAGAAGCATGAATGTCCTTGAAGAGGGGAGGCAGAGAGAGGGAGAGGGGGGAGAGAGAGACAGAGAAGGAGAGAGAGGAGTTATGTATGTCCCAATTGCGCTGCATTTTATGGACCACCAGATAGCACTCCAAGACTGTGTCATTGAATCAGCACTTTGAGCTCCCATTGACTTGTATTGCAAACAATAAAGCTTAATAGATTAAAAGGTATAAATGTTATAACAAAGAAAAATACAAGCAGAGATGTCCTTGAAGAACAGATGAAGATCTCAATGGCCTGTATAGCTAAAAGTATGCTGGATTTATAAAGTGCCAAAAAAGGGTGGAAGATCCCAGAATAATACAGGAGCACAGAAGGGCTTTGTGGCTTTACTGCAGAAGTTGCTGGACAGAAAGCTGCTGACCTTTCACTGCATCCTGCACCAAGAGGCACCATATGCCTTCTGGAATGCACAGAAGTAATGAATGTTGTCATTCAGATTGTCAATAAAATAATGGTAAAAGGTTTCAATCACTGTCGGTTTCGTTCGTTACTGGACAAGCTGGAAAGCACATATTCTGATCTCCGGCTGCACAACAAAGTCCAGTGGCTGTCCAGAGGGGAGGTGCTGAAACGCTTTGCCCCGTGTCTGGAAGAATTAAAACTTTCCTGGGTGGCAAAGGGCTCACATTTCCTGAGCTGGAACAGCCAGAGTGGCTGGAAAAGCTACACTTCATGGTAGACATGACAGCGCACCTGAATACAGCTCTTCAGGGGAAAGGACACACAGCCCTGCACATGTCGGAGGAGGTTTTGGCATTCGAGCGCAAGTTGATAGTGCTTGCCAGAGATTTACAGAAAGCTACACTGTCACACTTCCCCAATTTGAGAGAGTTCAAAGAAGCTCACATGATAAATTCGGAGTATTTACATTCTGAAATCATCGCAATGCAAACATCGTTTGGGAAACGATTCTGTGAGTTCAGAGAGGAAAAAGACCACATTATCCTTCCCTGTCACTCCCCTAAGTCTCGATCCATCCCTGCTGAATACGACTGCATTGGCAGGTGTGAGTCAGCCTGATCTTGAAATGGAACTGGCCGTAATAGCCGACAAGGACATATGGGTGTCCAAGGTTAAACAATTGACAGCAGACCTTGAAGATGTTGCCCATCAGAAGGCCGTTCTTGCTCAGAATCACAAATGGCGTGATGTTGAAAACCTCCCCAAACCGGACAAACTTACATTAGAAACTTGAAATGCTATCCCCGACGTTTATGTGAATTTGAAAAAGTATGCACTTGGAGCTCCTGTTGATCTTTGGATCATACATATGTATGTGAGCAGGTGTTCTCCAACATGAACTAAAAGCAAGCATCGTGCATGACTCACAGATGACAGCTTACGATCCTGTATAAAGATGAAGGTGACGGCATACAGCTCTGATGTGCAGACACTGTGCACTGAGGTTCAGGAGCAGAAATCGCAGCAACCAAGTATGATAAATATTTTTGCCTTTTTTTGCATATATTCATATTTTTTTTCATTGTTCAGTGAAATAGTTTTTTTATTATTCAGGTTGACAGCTGACTGCATGCACCAGTAAAAGGATGATGGCACACAGAGAGAGGACGGCATTTTTAGTTTGCTGCAGGTGGATAATTTAAGTTCGACATTTTTTCCATAAATACAAGAAGGACTCAAATAGACTGAGTATTTTATTTGAAAGTAACCTTCAACCCACCGTCTTTTTTTCTGAGTTCAAAATGTTTTTGTTGCATGCAGGAATGTAATTTTGCTCTCTCTGCAGTCGTTAATTGATTTCATAAATGCAACACATTATAGTTTAGTTTATACATAACATAAAGGCAAAAAAAAGACGTATGTAGTGTTGTTTCATTTTAAATGTCAAAAGGGTTTTGTGGCTCCCAGTGTTTTCTTTAGTGTGGGAAACGGGTCCAAATGGCTCTTTGAGTGGTAAAGGTTGCAGACCCCTGGTTTAGGCTAACCCCTTACCCAGAAAGATTACACAAAACAAAATCCCCAGATGAAGTCATTCCGAAGACTCCATCTCTTATCTAGTGCTCCACATGCTTTGAGCAGCTGCATTTTTACCTAGTCATAGCAAAATGAAGAATTTCAATGTGTGTATGTTGTCACATGGTGTGTAGCTAAGGCATTCATTCATTTCTTCAGACATAATATTCTAATACAAGATAAATACAGGAAAAGAATTGGTGTCATAGGTACCTATGGTTCACTTTTCAGAATCAACATTCTGTCTGCTAACCTTGAAACAAAACAGACTAGAGCAGACTTTAAATCTTACTAAACTGCATTACTAACACATCTGTTTCAGCACATTGTCTAACAATTATCTAACTGATTTACTAATATCTAACATAGATAAGAACGATGGTGTAGGATGTTCTTCCGTGTTTTCATCAGCAATACAACCTGTTTCCTAAAGGTTAACATGGTAATGATTAACGGATCAACGAAGGCGTGTGTACGCCCATCCAGACGCAACATTCGCTCACAGAAATGGGTCCCTTGTGAAAACTGAGATCCAGACCAACAGAAAATGTTCCCTAAAATCCTCGATCTGGATCATCCTTTAGGATGTGGCAGACCGTGCATCTCACCTGAACATGCCAGGTCTTCATCACAGGCAGAAAATACGCATTAAATGGCGTTTTCAGTGTTGTGGTTGTCAGAACCGGAATCAGGATCAGATCTGGAAGAAATTTGGTCTGTCACCAGACATTGCTCCCTACATGTGTCAACTTTCAAACAAAAAGAATTTTGATAACTTTTCAGTGAGAGGTGATTTTCTTAACTAAAACTTTCTCTCATGTTAAAGATAGGGATAGCATAAAGAGCAATGCGTGTGCGTCTCCTTTTATCACCAACTGCCTGTCAGATAGGGCATCAGGTGACACCACCGCACACATGCAGTAGAGAAATGGCCAGAGAGAAGCAGGGCCGATATCACCAGCCCCATCCCCTAAAAAAAGAAATTTAGTTCAGCAGTGTTGGATTACTTTGGATATTACAATAAGGAACACCTTTGAGCTCACCATCCCTTTGTGCAGATTGATGTATGTGTATAACTTTAATACTTAACACAAAATTTCCATATCCCATAAGTGTGTGAGTGAAGGTACAGACAAGATCGGATTGGCTGCGGTGTCATGCACCTACAGTAGGTTAGAAAGATTAGTAGATTATTTTGATCATTGTTTAGAGCATTGTGATGGCATTTCTCACTGCTTTCAGAATTTTTACAAACCAACCAATTGATTCATGGGGAAAATAATTAGCAGATTAATCCATAATGAAAATAATCAAATAGATAATCAATAGTTGAACTTTTCTTGTGAGCAGCATTTTTAAAAGGTTGCCATTTCTGTAGCAGAGGTCGAGATATTGACTGACCCAGTGTGTGTTATGGGTCAAGCTCCAAGAACTTTGGATCTTACATTTGTCTTCATGCAGCTCTATACTGGGGATGTCACCCGAGCACCTCAGAGTTCAGAGAGCATCTCTGGTGACAGGTTTCTACACAGACCAGTGCCACTCCAGGCCCCTTAGTGAATATGCTGCTGTAGTTGACTGTCACAGGTAGAAATGAATTAGGTGTTTTATGACCCACAGAGATGCTGTAAATGTCATTTATGTTTTCACATTGTTTTATCATGTCTTCTGACACTCTTGCTCTCTGTCTTTTGCCTTAGAAACGGAGAGGAATGAGACTCAAACATCTCCACTGTCATGACTGTGAGAAATCCTTCACAACACGGACATGTTTAAAGAGACATCAATGTATTCACACTGGAGAGAAACCATACAGCTGTGAGCAGTGTAGAAAATCTTATTGTCATTTACGTCAGCTAAAACTTCATCAATATATTCACACTGGAAAGAAACCTTATAGTTGTGAACATTGTGCAAAGGTTTTTTTTAGGTCAAGTAATTTCAAAGTCCATCAGCGTATTCACACTGGAGAGAAACCATATCAGTGTGAACAGTGTGGGGCTGCTTTCACGGTGTTGGCAAGTCTAAAACGGCATCAAAGTATTCACACCGAAGAGAAACCTTATAGTTGTGATCAGTGCGGAAAATCTTATTCTGAATCATGTCAGCTAAAACTCCACCAACATATTCACACCGGACAGAAACCTTATAGCTGTGAACACTGTGGAAAAGGTTTCGTCAGTTCAAGAAATCTCAAAGTCCATCAACATGTTCACACTGGAGAGAAACCATACAGCTGTGACCAGTGCGGAAAAGCTTATGCCCAATCACGTCAGCTAAAAGCCCATCAACATATTCATACTGTAGAGAAACGTTACAGCTGTGACCAGTGTGGAAAAGCTTTTGGAATCCCGTGGGAGCTGAAAGTCCATCAACGTATTCACACTGGAGAGAAACCATATTGTTGTGAACAATGTGGGGCAGCATTCTCAGTGTTGGGAAATCTAAAGCAACATCAACATATTCACACTGGAGAGAAACCGTACAGCTGTGAGCAATGTGGAAAAGCTTTTTTGGCTCCATGTTACTTAAAAGCCCATCAACGTATTCACACTGGAGAAAAACCTTATCGGTGTGAAGAGTGTGGGGCAGCTTTCACAGGTTTGTCAAATGTAAAACGACATCAACGTGTTCACACTGGAGAAAAACCGTACAGCTGTGATCAGTGCGGAAAATCTTATTCTCAATCAGGTTCCTTAAAGCAGCATCAACGTAGTCACACTATATAGGGACAGTAAGAGGAGGATCAGACAACCAGCTAGGAACTGTTTGGACAAAACCCACCTGTAAAAATTAACAAATCAAATCAAATTTAGTTATATAGCACTTTGATCAGCTGGATGCTGTTTTTAAAGTACTTTACATGGCAGAATAAAATCACAATAAAAGTTAACAGAATATTTCTAGATATGTTATTGGCTAAGGAAAGAGGAGTCTGTAAGATGATAGGCTTTTATTGTTGTACCTTCAGCCCTAATAATACTGCACCAGATAGGTTTTCTAAGGCCTTAGTGATGCTTCTGACTGCTTTATCTGAAGAATTGGCTGAAAAGTTTGGCATTAATGATCCCTTTTCTGATTTGTTGCAAAGCTGTCCCTGGTAGGCTAGTGGTTAAGGCGCAGCGCTCTCGCCGCTACGGCCCGGGTTCGAATCAGGGTTGCTTGAGGAAGGGCATCCGGTGTAAAACACGTGCCAAATGTCAACATGTGAGTCATCAGTGTGATGATTCACTGTGGTGACCCCTAAATGGGAAAAGCCAAAAGTGACATTCATTTCTGATTTGTTGCAACATTGGTTTGGAAAATGGAGTGGGTGAGTCAGTTCTGTTTTAGTGTCTGTAACTTTATTTGCAGCCATTCTAGTTCTGCGGCTGTTCCTGCATCCCTTGTATTAGACAAATGTGTACCAAATGCATTACTAGAGCCATAGATTCCAAATATTCTACACGACCTCTATATCAATTATTTCAGTTAGCCTTAGAGAGTACACCCTTGGCTTCTTTCCCACAGCTCATCATCAATGAAGATGCCTTGGACCTGGAGGAAGAAGAAAATGCCGGTTATCTGTTCCCCTGAAACCCCTTTTTACACAGTTTTTCTAAGGTTAATACATAAACCCTATAATGTCACACAGACGTAGCAGGCGTGATATTTTTAGTATTGTACAGTTAGGTGTGATTTGTGCTTATTGCAGGACATGTTATGAGTTGTGAAAACGGAGGTACTGAATTTTTGGAAAAGAGGTTTTATTTCCAGTACATGGACAGGTTCTCTTATTAGGAATGGTTTATGCTCTTGTTAACTAGGATGACCTTGCTATTGATTGTTTTGTTTATCTTTTCTAGTTGTTTGTGTAATGAAGAATGCTTGCTGATGTAGTTGCAGTGAAGATCAGCTTACATATAGCCGCTGACATGTGCACTGTATTGCCAGGGGTATTCACTCACCCATCTAAATTATTGAATTCAGAGTGGCCCCACCACAGGGCATGGAGAGCTTCATGGAATGGGGCTCCAAGGACAAGCAGCCGCATTCAAGCCTGACACCACCAAGTGCGATGCAGAACGTCTGATTATGAGGGGAAGTTGCTTCTTATGAATGGGGCTTGGCCCCTTTAATCCAGTAAAAAGGAACTCTTGATGCTTCAGCATACCAGGACATTTTTGACAGTCTTGTGCTCCCAAGGGAGTGAGGTTGATGTGGAAGAATTTGACTGGCCTGTTCAATGTCCTGACCTCACTGGTATGCTTCTGGGGGAATGGTCAAATTTCCCATTGACATTCCTGGACTCTGTGGACAGCCTTCCCAGGGGAGTTGAAGCTGTTACTGCTGCAGAGGGTGGACTAACACCAATTTGGGCCCTATGCACTGAAAATCAGTTGTGACTCATGTTCATTTGCGTGAGAAGGCAGGTGGACAGATGCTTTTGGCAATACAGTGTAGTATGCTAGCAGTGAAGACAGGTTTACATTGTACTGATATTCCAAAAAGGGGCCTTATGCTCCCTCTGGTTGGATGACTGATTTGTCTCTGATACCTAGGTCAAGCTGGGAACCAGTCCCTGGGATGTTGGAAGTTCAAGTCAGTCCTCCAATAGTTTGTAATTCTTCACTGTTTTTGATTGACATAAAATCATGTCAAAATGGGGAAATGTAATATTTGAGTTAGATGAACTTAAGTTTCTTTTCCTATTTTTTTATTCCTTACTTATATGTATTACTATTGCATTGATGACTGTTAAAACTGCTTAGTATCTCCTGTTTTCCTGTTAAAAGAATGTGTCTGCAGGAAGTCTGCGCCTTGGAGTTAGCCAAATGTTTGGTATTTACTGTTCATTTGTTAGAGCTTGTGTACGCAGGATGTCTGCTCTTTGAAGATGACCAGATGTTCGTGTTTCTGTTAGTTACCGCTTGACAGTACAACATACACACACCATTTGATTTGCATATTTAGTAGCTGACGTGAGCAAAGGCTGACTTGCTCACGCCTATGGCCAATAGCGTTAAGGTATGTGTAAGCCCAACCTCTGTCCGGGGTGCTTCCTGCCCACGAAGATAAATGGAACTAAAGACAATGGTCCGGGGCTCTTTGATGATGGAGTTCCTGCAGAAACTCTGATTCTTTGAGGCCAGCGCCGTGTAACTTGACATGTGACTAGACTTCAAATAAATTTCTGTTGATTTTATACAGTCCTCTTCTGTTTTCACTTCTCATGCTTTCAACTAAAGAACTGGGTCTAACACAATCCAAAATAAATGTATAGATGACTTGTGCCAGCATCTGGTGTTTTGTAACAACATGACTAAGACACCTCTGGATTTAAATGATGGGCCTACTGCGGGGAAATCTGAAAATTCAGATGTGTTTACACCAAGTTTCTTTTGTGTGTGTCATGAAAATTACATTATAAAATATGTTTTAAACTGTGTTTTAATCAATATGTTAATCAACATATGTTATTCAATGGATTTTAAACTTTCAGAACAGACCATAGATCACAGGGACCTGTGAGAAACTGCTTGTGTGAACTGAAGGACATTTTTTATCTTTCTTTTAGTACTCTGTGTGTTATATGTTCAACCAAATTGCCTTCCAGACTTAAAGGAGCCAGCCATAAACTCTTCCTGCCATATACTGTGAAGATAAACAGACAACAGATTGTTTAGTGTCTGAGGGGTTATCAGGGCAAACCCTCTCAAGTTCTCTTTTGCTGTTTAAATCTTACATGATCATGCTTTTTCTCCAACCACTGAACAATGTAAATCCCAGACTCCCCTCACTGTGCCCTGGTGCAGCAGCTAATACCTTTTCACATATTCTCCTTGAGAGAATACAGGGAGCTGGGGGAGAAGCTGTTATCTGCATCCCACCTACATCGTGAAACCAGATCTACAGGCGAGCCCCGAGGATCGTTCGACAGCAGAGTGTACTTAGATGCAATTGGCGTAACCCGAGGAGTACCTGATGAGTTTATAGCTAGAAATCAAGTAGCTGCAGGGTTTGAATCTTTTCTTTACTGGTGGGTCACAGTAAATAAGAATGTGGATTGGATTAATTACTTGTACTATAATCAGTGTCTTGTGAATCATACCAGAGATGCAATTAGAGGCATAGCAGAACAACTGGGCCCAACTTCTCTCATGTCGTGGCAAAATAGAATGGCCCTCGATATGTTGTTAGCTGAGAGAGGAGGGTATGTAAAATGTTTGGTACATTTTGTTGTACTTTTATCTAACAACACTTCCCCAGATGTCAGCATCACCAATGCCCTGGAAGGACTGACAACCCTATCCAAGGAGCTGGCTGTGAACTCTGGCATCAAAAGCCAGCCTCCTGGAATCCTGGTTCGGAAAGTGGAATGGCCTAATCGCTTCTGGGTTGATCTCTGTCTGTAGCTCCAGCCCTGCTGGTCGTGTGTGGCTGCTGTTGCATCCCCTGCCTGCAAGGACTGATGGTGGGACTGATAGACACTGCTCTGACTAAGACAGTGTACCAACAGATCTGTGATGAGGAAAAAGGAGAAGAAAATCACTACGAACCGGACGATTGGATTTGAAAGGAGACTTTCCTGATTCTAATCTGAGTGAACCATGTATGACTTGTTTTAATGAAAACCTGAAAGGGAGAGTTTAACCTCTAGAGTCCCTGCGTCCTCATATGAGGACCGCACAGCTTGGGTTTCCAAAGCTCAGGACTCTAGAGGTTAAACAGCGAGATCCTGGGATGAACAAGATTAAGAATTATGTAGTTAATAAAGTGATTCTAAAAGTTTAATCAGGAGGGAAATGTCATGAAAATTACATTATTAAATATGTTTTAAACTGTGTTTTAATCAATATATTAACCAACATGTGTTATTTCTTTCAATGGATTTTAAACTTTCAGAACAGATCACAGGGACCTGTGAGAAACTGCTTGTGTGACCTAAAGGGCATGTTTTATCTTTGTTTTAGTGCTCTGTGTGTTGTTATATGTTCAACCAAATTGCGTTCCAGACTTGAAGAAGCCAGCCATAAACTCTTCCTGCCATATACTGTGAGGATAAACAGACAACAGATTGTTTAGTGTCTGAGGGGTTATCAGGGCAAACCTTCTCAAGTTCTCTTTTACTGTTTAAATCTTCTTTACAACTTGATTAACGCTTGGGTTGTGTCTTTAGGGAGTTCCCTTTCTCTTATATATTGTGATGTTTAGACTAAGCTCATTCAGACAGCTCTGTATGCCTATGCTGCCTTGTCTCCTTGCAAGTAAACCAATCCCTTATTGAAATATTCCAGTGACTTCGTTGTTTCTTTGAAAATTCTTTTGACAGTGTGTTAATGTGTTTGTTTTTTAAGTAATTGTGTTTTATTTTGTTAGTATTTTTCTATTAAAATCCTCTTGCTTTTATCAACCTTATTACCACAAGGTGTGCAGTATTTAGACAAACCAATTTTATTTATAGGCAATGTAGCCTTTATTTAATATTCATTTAATTGCAGCTGATTGTTTCATTCATTTTTGATGGATGCCACTTCTGGGATACCTCTGAAAATGTTCAACCCACCAGTTTGGTAGCACTTTCCACAGTTGGTTCACAATATCAGCTGCTACAGTATGTGAAGCACAGATAGGAAATACCTAGGAGGATGAATGTAGGTTATTTTGACAACTGAAACACAGCCACAAATCTTTAATCCACATTCCATTTCGACTTAACTGTAGTAAATACAAACAATAAACACAATGAAAAACAATGATAAACACAATGAAAACAGACAAGCAGCCATTTTTCCAGACTTTCTGGCACTGAATCTGAAGCCTAGAAATGGTAACTAAGGGGCAGGACTTCTGCTGATTTATTATTTATTCCATTATCATTTATGTAAATATCTATTTAAAATGTTTTTTTGTATTTAATTTATACAGGTCAACAATTATGGTGGTATTATTTCATAACGCTGTAATGGCAGAGTTGTTCTTTTTGAGATTAGCTACAAAAATAAATCATTTAATTCATTAAAATGCAACAGACTCATTTGTTTTTACAAATGCAATGTGTGGTTTGGCTGACAGTACAGTGACCAGCTGTGCTGACTCGGCATCTTGTTCCTTTCTATGCAGGATGTAAGGAAACATAATAGAGTAACAACTGGGTAAAAAAAAACACACACACA